GAGGGTTTCGCAATGTCTTCGCAGTATATCGATTTGCAGTGTAGGTACCTAACGGAACTGAACTGATTGATCACATCACAGTCGCATTGTCCTCTCTCTACCCGCTTGTTCGACCTAACCGTTCTGTTACCGTCTTCGTGCAGTCGCACTGATAAAGAATGGCCCGATCGTTTATTTGCCTGTCACGCCGGTGCTGCAGCGTCTCTGCAGGCAACCACAGCAGCCCCGGAGGCGTCAACAGCATCAGGTGATGATGGATGGATGGAAAAGGGGATGGCGAGTTGTCTGCCTGTTACTATGGGACAACTCTGTGCCTCTTAACGAATTTCAATCTCTTCTCCGGCTCGTCTCAAGTTATATCAGCTTGTTTATGTGATGACTTTAAAACCAGCGTAGCATGTGTTTTGTTGCGGCAGGTGTTTCAAATACATAGAAGAATTTCACACCATTTGGTGAATTAAAAACAAATACAAATGCTTCTGAGTCTGAATGCAGAGAGGGAGAGACGGCGACTTACGACTTACAATTGAAGCGTAAGCTATATTTTCACCCTCTTTCTCAAAACTCTCGTGCGAGTAGGCCTTGCTTATTCGACACCTCTCCCGAGGAACCCCTCACTTCTTCCGCACCCTCACCGTCAACATATGCACCCCCCTCCCCCTGACTGCTCTCGCCCACCCGTATTCACCAAGGTTGCACATGGATCGTGCGCACTGCAGGTAACGGTTCAGTGGGGATCACCTTCAAAGACACAGCCACGCGATCAGACGTGAGACGGGCAGCACTCGGACGCAGGCAGATACATACAACTGACCTTCTAGCACGCCTTGATTGACGGCCTTTGAAGCATTAGGTATGTGAGCCACCCACTAGACCCGAGCATTTATCCCGTGGGCCTGTCTTGATGCATTACAACACTAATCCTATTGTGACGTGCGTTCACGTCATAAGACCGGACCGTCCGCTGATGTATTCACTATTGCAACATCGCTAAACATTTGATCCACAATTAGCTTCCTTATTTCTATCGCCTTCGTGACGACTGATTGACAGTGCAATTTATCCGCACGAGAGGCGAGAGACCTTGTCCCCCCCCCCACCATCCTGTCCCGCCCACAGGGTACTTCTCAGTCCAGTGAAGGCTCGTCGCCACGGGAGTCGTGCAATGGATTAAAGTCGTGCCGCCCCAGGGCTCCATGCAGCGAGTGAATGGGAGAGGAGCGGCCGGGCTGCCCAGGTGCACAGAGTCCATCGGTGGCCACCGTCAGCCGACAGGGTCCGGAATCGGATCACGTTCGTCCCGGCTGGCGCCACGGGCTACATGGTAATCATTACTCATTTCGGTTTGACGAGCCGAGCCGTGAATGGCACGATTTGGACGTGACGTCGGCGCTGGTCCCCAGAGGACAGTGTGACGCTGTTCAGATTGAGTCCGAATCTGACTATTGATGAGAGCCTCTTGGCATACCGGTACTCAGTTGAGGCAGCTGTGTTTATTTCGTGGAGCTCGTGTAAGGAGTCTGAGAAGTTGAAGGTCACAGTCGACATTGAGCAGATATTACGGATGCCGGGGAAATTCACCGATTCTGACTGTGTTCCACCGTCAGAGTATGATGCAGCAGCAGCTTACTTCGTCATGCAACATCCTGGAGACCATGTTTAAAGACGTCAATCTATTTATTCAGCTCAATGGTCTTTCCACCGAAGGCAAAGTAGAATTTCCTTCATGGTATTTCTTAGCCTAAACTGACACTGATGCGAAGATCCGGGATGATAAATATGTTATTCTAGCTGTATCGACAATGTGCTTATTTGTTCGTGGCACAGTGCATCTGCCCTGTTTGTTGGTGAGCCGCGATGGCACGCCGTCTGCTGGCGACACCGTAAATCTCCGCCATGGCGTACATTGTTCTGTCAAACAAACGGCAGTCCGACCTGCGACTGCGCCGACTGCCGATCTATAATGTGCGCACTGTGCGCACATCTATACCGCCGGTACACGCAGGATGGCAGTCAGTTGACAACCACCAGAACATCCGGTCCAACAGGCGTCAACAATGGACGGGGAGGGACAACGACTCGACCCCAGCCGGATACTGGTGCTAGTGACCGCCCAGCCGACCATCCCATCCAAACACAGGAAGAAGAGACAGTAAACTAGCTTTGTATTGTGCCAGTGCCCAGTCCACAGCCGTATAGCGGTGTGTGGTGTAGGTATATCATGTGACACGGGTGAGCCGGCGGCCCGGCATATGGACTGTGGTCCTTGTAACCGTGTCAGTTGGCAGAGCAAATAATATGGTAGTTGCGAAGAAAAAATGTTTCCTGAGCATAAGCGGAGCTGCCCAATAATAAAGTTTATAAATCCTCTCTCCCCGGCAAGGCGTGGAAGATGAGGACGCGCGGTTTAGAACCATATGTATGTACTATATGAAGCCAGGCCTATGAATTGGGTCGTAAATATGTGGGTCGTAAATATGCAAATTATTTCGCAGGGCTCCGCCTCACCGGCTACACGTGACCTGCTGTACGCACGATAGCCGATGCTATTGGTCAGCAGGTCACGTTCTAAGGATAGCTAGTATGTTTTGCCTCTGCTGTCTATCCGGTTTCAAGTGGTGCCGACCGTCAGTATCGGCTCGCAGCGCCGGCCACAGAAATAAAAACCGGAACAACGACCACGCTCTGCAACCAATCGTGCAAGCCGAGCAGCCTGTCCGTCTGACATGACAATAGGCGTGCTCCCTTTTGTTCGTTTTAGCCGTTTGCCGTTTACGCACTGTATAGGTGTGTAAACGTCAAACGGGTATATAGAGCGCGCAGCTCATTTTTGCGGTATCCGAAAGTTGAATGCGGATTCAATATTTACAGAAGTGTAGGTAACGAGTCAAAGATATTTGACTGCCGATTAAACTTTACCGACACATTGCACGCATGAAAACCGGATGATTTTTACGGTTTCCAGCCTCATGGCTCATTGACACCCCGAGGCCCCGAGAAATAAGATATATTTTTCGAAAACATTCGTCATCGCTATTATTACACCATCTCATCACACAGGCACTGTCGTCCCGTTATCGGTCGTCCTCAACTCTCGGCTCACCGTTGCAGCCAGGTGGGTTCGACCTTCATTCAATATACGAGTAGGGGAAGTTGGGGGAACGCCGAAGAGTTTTTTTCTGACGCCCGTAGCACGCAAGGTAGACAACATAAGCTATTCTTGTTGGCGTCATTCGAGAGGCCAGTCTTCTGCCTTTCAAACATACCAGGCGCATTTGATGAATTTGCATAGGTACCGTTAAGCGCACAAACTAAAAATATCAAACAAGTGACTTTTTCGGCGTTGCCCCGGACTGCGGGGAAAGCCGAAAATGGGAGAAATGATCTACGGGGAATGCCGACATTGATGTTTTGCCATTTTATCTCAAACTTTATCCAGAATTCATCAAAGCTGACACGCGTTTTAAGAGCTTGAGGACGCGGTGCACACTGGAAGTTATAATTGTGTGATATAATAAGAAAATGCCAGGTAAATCATTCCTTATAGGTAACAGGCCGTTGTGTCGGTTGAAAGTGTAATTTGTTTGACTAAAAATACGCGTTGCTATTCTACAGCAGTAAAGTCCACGTAGCGTGCTTTTAACACGTGCGTAATCGCACGTTTTCGGCATTACCCCAGCCAGCCATACTTTCATTTGCAGGCCCATAACTTTTCAACGTGCTGTATAAATTTCAAATAGGCAGCACAATTATGCAAAGACATGCTAAAGATTACTTGACCGAATTGGCCAGACAAACGGTAGCATAATGAGTAAGAAATGCAGCTTCAAAGGCGCATGTAGTACAAGGGAAACGTACCTTGAAAACGCTCTTGGCGCCCTCACAGTCGAAGTATTCCGAATGACGACTCGTAACAAACATGCGATAATTGTAGTCACTTAAGCTTCAGAGCATCACTGACAGGTGGCATCCATGTCTTACGGTTTTCGAAATATCTCGAATTTCGGCTTTGCCCCAACTCCGGCATTGCCCCAACTTCCCCTACCCTGAGTTCTATGATCCGTGGTTCGACGGTCGACCTACCCGTGGACAGACTGCTGATCCTCAATGAAGGTCGACTTATCCGTGCAGCCCCTCCAGCAACCGAATCCCATTCCCTCCGTCAGGTGACAGCCATGGTCATTGAATATCCTATGATAATGGGGTAGGGAGAGGAGGGAGAGGAAAGAAAGAGAGAGAGAGAGAGAGAGAGAGAGAGAGAGAGAGAGAGAGAGAGAGAGAGAGAGAGAGAGAGAGAGAGAGAGAGAGAGAGAGAGAGAAAGAGAGAGAGAGAGAGAGAGAGAGAGAGAGAGAGAGAGAGAGAGAGAGAGAGAGAGAGAGAGAGAGAGAGAGAGAGAGAGAGAGAGAGAGAGAGAGAGAGAGAGAGAGAGAGAGGCACCAACCCTTGACCACAAATCTCGCTACAACCCTGAACTCTATAATCTCCCTGTCCATCGCCCGGCCGAACGTGAGCCCCAGCGCCACCTCAGCAGCTCGCGTTACGGATACTGAGGTGGCGCCCCCGATATGGCTGGACTGTGGTGGACCCATGCTGACCGGCTATAAAGGCATCCGAGCTGATAACAGAGTTCCAGGCTGTGACAATACCATATCCCCGCCACAGGGCGGACCAACGGTTCCCAGCGATACCGTCACACGACGGAGGGCACTTTTCCAAGGCCACATGTACCCTTATACATCTGTTTCATCTCACTCCACGTCGGCGAATAACAGTTGGATGAAAGTCAATATTGCCTTAACAACGGCTTCTCCTGAGCCAAAGGCCATCACCTGCATGCATCAATAAACTGATCGGAGCAGACGGTGTCGATACATCACGTCAAGTGACTATTGCTACTGGGCGGAGCCGGAGATGCCTGAACTTCTTTCGTAACACTTAGCCCGCTGAAAGATTGTGGTGCGTACATGATAGCTATTGTGATGGCATCTAAACACAAATGTTCTATCAAACTATATATTTATATCAGAATACACAAATACAAAACATTCGCTCATAGATGATTATCACAATACTCGTTCGTAAAAACGACGTGAGCAAAGGATGAAGAACCACAAAACCGTATAGAAAGCGCTATTAGCGACTGACTCACCAGCACTCGATACACATTCATCCAACCAACTCAGCCAGTTCATTTAATATCAGAAAACGAATCGGCCACCCAGTAATCCCCCTATAATCTCTCATAAATTCATGGATATGATGACCAGGCTGATCATTATGCAAGTCTAGGGGACCATTTGCGGTGCCCGCCCACAATCTCCCCTATCCGCCCGCGGTGTCTCCGCGCTCCATTTGGAACAACACTGGAAACGACACGACAAAGGCTCGCCTCACCCGCCAGCACTGCTGCCACATTCGGGCCAGCACTGGAAAACGGCACAGCAACGGCTAGTCACTGTGGGACAAATCAGCGATTCCCCACGAGCATCGACATAAAACTGACCATACCACGAAACACCACCGGAATACACCACCCTTCGCCGCTAGCCGCGAGGAAACATTCGCTCGCCGGGATAGGCTAGTATAAGCTGCCGTACCTGTCTTCATTCAGAGTGGCTGAGCACTGTTTGTTGATCGTTAATGTATCGAGGTTTGTCTACGACGGGGACGGGAATATTCCCCCAAAACGGACGGCATACATGGAAATGGCTCACAAAACGCTAAAAATGCTACAATACTCTCTGCGGAAAGCACAGTCTAAAAACGAAGTAAATCCTCCAACAGGACCTGCCCATTTAAGAACATGATGCGGACATTTGCCCAGAGGACCTTCATCGAATCTCAGAATGTGTTACCCCCTTTCTCCTCCGTTTGAGAATAGCCTGCCTTTATGACAACAGTAAGCCATCATTTACGAGGGACACTCATTAAGATGGCCCAGCCCTTTAGTTTTTCAGAGCTCAGAGCTATCCCTACACATGCGCAGAGCACGACGCAAGCGCACTTGTCCCTTCCTGCACAGCACTCCATGGCGAATCAGCAAACAGGATGCCCTTTCAATACCCTCGGTTCAGACCGAGCAGTTTTAATATTACGCATGCACTGCCGGTCCATCCTCATCAAACCCCTACCTCTCCACAGAGTGAACCTCGCCGTTATCAGAGCATTCACTTCTCTTCCTATAACCTCACAGACCACACCACTGCCTCGCCCTCTTCAACCCTCCCGCCTTCAGATATACGTCACTCTCGTCCACTGCATCTCCCCTCTCCCATCGCTCTTCCTAGCTGTGTGCGGAGCCGAGCAGGCTGCTCTCCTCCCCGGATGAGTCAAAGTCCTCTACCTCCGCCACTAGATCGAGCTGGGTCTGCGCGGCCGGCGGCGGCGGCGCGCCCGGCGGCTGCACCACCGTCACAAAGTTCGCTGCCGGCTTGCCGTTGGAGGTGGGCTCAGCGTCCGTGTAGCCTCCGCCGGCAGCCAGGTAGCCGACGGGCAGGGCGCGGTAGCCGCTCGCCCGCTCGCGCCGCTGCCGCCAGAAGAGCAGACCCACCACCAGCAGCGCCAGCGCGAGCAGGACGATGACGGTGAGCACGCCGCCGTACCAGCGGTCGGCGGCGCGGGCCCGCTCCAGCAGCTCCGTGTTGAGACAGGAGCGGGCGCCCAGCGGACCGGAGGTGAGCGTGGCGTCGCCGTGGCACCCGCTGCACTGGTAGTCGTTGGGACCGTCACACTCGGCGCACGTGTAGTGACACGGCTGGCAGGCGGCCCGGTCTCGGTCGGCGTACCGGCCAGGCGGACAGTCGGTCACGCAGGAGCCCTCCGACAGCAGCCGGCCGTGCTCGCACTCTGAAAAATATCCACCGTCAGCCGGACCCAGACCAACGGACAGACGAACGGACGGAGGGACAAGAGCACGGCTAAAACGGGGCAGGCGACAGTGTGAGATATGATTTACTTTATCGCTTCTTTACAATAAAAAACGCAATTAAGCTATTTTGTACTGATATTTGATTCCTCAGATAATGTTATGAAAACAAGACATGCAAATGACGTGAAGGTTAAGAAGCTTCAAGTAAAACATCACTCTAGTGTTTCGATGACATACGCATTACGCAATGCATTTTAGCCCTAGCACACACTACAACTATGCAATGCCTAGACACAGCATCAGCAGACATACGCGGTAAAAACTGAAACAGAACGCACCGCACCGCAACGCAACACAAACGACCAGCGCAATCAGACCGAAAAGGCGCCCCGAAAGTGCACTCGGAGACACGAAGCGAGCAGCGGAGATGTCCTAGTTGGGCTGAGAGGGACAGAGAGAAGGGAGCTCGACGGAGCCGGTTAGAGGGTGAGCGGATCGGGCCAGGACGCCAGCGAGGGTACAGAGTAGAGAGACAGGCGCTACCGAAGTCTTAGAGACACACGCTACTAGCCACATGCACTAGCCGAGAGGAGAGGAGACGATCGAGCAGCCCAAAGCCGGTACCCCACACCAGGCTGCAGAAGCGGCGGGGAGGGGAGCTAAAGTGGCACACGAGACCGACCGGATCACTTTGTCAGTTGTCCCTGTGGAGAATATAAACGTGCAGACGGCTACCCTGAAGCGTGGGCGGGGAGTAGATGGCCATTCCCGGTAGACAAAAACAAACACCGTCTCAGTGACGCAGTCAGTCAGCCATTCAGCCATCCAAACAGCCACACACCTCCCTGGTAGCAGCGCAGTTGACCAGACCCCGGTCTTCCCACCCGGCAAACTTGCAAGGGAGGGCTACCCCGACCAGGGAGTAGCAGCGCCGACCCAAGAGAGCTTTCACCGTCATCACAGGGCGTCCCGCAGCCACCAAGTTAGTGGGCCGTCACCAAACGGGGCGGGGCGGGGGCGTCTGACGCGTGCCGTGGCTCCACTCACCTGACCAGCACCGGGGTCACCGCACTGCGACCCGTCTGACCCGAGGCGCGCCGCCGGCGACTCCGCCGACGGCCGGCGGCAGCGCAGGCGTGGTTAGTGACGGCCGCGGTCCGGCGGCGACCGGCCGCACGCTCACACACAGAGAGAGAAACAGAGACGGAGAGAGATAGCGGAGGGAGCGGCGGAGAGGGGCCAGTGCGCCGACCACCACCACTGCTACCTGGTGCCAGAGGTGCTCGCGGCGAGACAGAGTGTGAGAGGCAGGAGGGAGGCAGGATCAACGGAACAGGAAAGACAGACGTGAGACAACTCAATGAGATGGTCTGTCGCGATACGGGGGGAGGTGAAGGGAGGTTTTACGAACGAGGTTAGTCTCGATGAGCAGCGAAAGCAAATGCCATCTGTGATACGGTTATACTGATTCAGTGTTGACAGGTTGATGGAAAATATAAGAAAACAAAGTTGATAAGCGAAGAGAGCTCCTGTTTCGAAGGCGGCTGCTCAGAGTTTGCTGCTTCGGCACTGGTGAAGATCACAGGCCAGAGTTCAGCGAGGCGCAGCAGATAGACAGATTCAAGTATGCGGCAGGGTATGTAATATCCAGCAAACCGTCCACCAGCTTTAACCTCTCGACATGTACAACAATAACACACCAACAACTCCACACTGAATCAACACTTTCATTTATTGACATGATCCACATCTCACCGGCAAAGGGAAATGAGTATTAAAGATCGCGTATAAAACTATGATCTAAAAGTGACACCATCTGGCGGCGGCGCGTCTTTCACTCTCTGTCTGGCGTTGTACTGTGGGCGGCCATCTCCTGACGGGTCCCGCGCCGCTCGGCGCCGCCTGTGTAATCACGCTAATCACGGTCTGGAAAACGATTGTGTCGAGCCGACGCCCCGGACCGCGGCGACAGACAGGCGCTACATAGTAGCGCTGCAGCCGGCCGGACCAGCCAGCACGGACAGACAGACACACAGACAGACGGACAGGGCGGCGGGACGGGCGTGTCTTATAATCATCGGTCGGCCGCCGGGCTGTGAGTGGATTTTCAGCCGGGCTGTGCGGAGTTCGATATGTGAGGAATGAGGACTTACTCCTCCCCTGACCGACCGATGAGGGCAGAAGCAGTAGACAATAGACAGCAGACAGCAGACATCAGACAGGCGCAGCACGGTGATGACGCAGACAGGCGAAAACGGCGGCGCGCGCGCAACATCAGAGCCAAAAGGCCACACACGATAACTGCCTGACGGTGTGGACACCCGATCTCACATCCTACACAACTTCCCGGGGCAAGAATCAATTAAAACGGCGAGGTCATATTACATAGACGTGTACGATAAAACAAGGAGGATATTTGAGATCACGATGAACACCGCTGCAGCGCTACGGTGATTGGGTCGCCGACGGACCGATCGCGCCCCGAACAGCGCACAGAGCCCATAATTAACGCCCGACCGCGGTGATCCGGCCGCACACCAACAACATAATAGGAACTGAGGCGACGGGCCGCCGCCGGCCGCAGCTGGCGCGGGGGCGCACTACAGACTCGCGCACACACTAACAAACACGCGCGCACGCAACAAGCCAACATCGTGACGGGTAGTCTCCTGGTGTCATTTGAACTGGGGCGCCTGCTCTCCTGGGTGGGTGGGCTGGCGCGGCGGATCGGTGCGGCCGGCGAGTAACGGTGAGCAATCGTTTGGCACAATACTGATCTACAGAGCGCGGCGGGCGTCGGCGTCACATCACAGGGCGGTGCCGGCGGCCGGGTCGGCCCCTCCACCGCCGGACACGGCATACACGCGTCATCAGCTGCACGGACACAGACACACATACATACACACACACACAGACAGGCGCGAGCGACTGGGAGCTAGGCGCGGCCGCGGCGCGTTACCGAGGCCCGCGCAGCGCCGCCACGACCGTCAGCGCCAGACACCAACCTAGACAGAGCGAGGCGGAGGTGTTGGCGCGCAGACAGCCGGGCAGTCGCGGCGGCAGCGCCGTGGTGGGCGCCGCCGCCGAGCGCTCCGTGCTGGAGGTGGGCGGCGGCTGCGGCGGCTGGGCCGGCGGCGCGGTGCCGGCCTCCACCTCTGTTCCGAACATCACCAGCGTCCAGTCGGAGACGGTGGCTGAAACACACCGGGGCCGGACGGTCAGACGGGGAGCACGGGGTGGGCACTTCCCGGCCAAACGAGTAGCTCAGGGTGGACACTACCCGGCAGACGCAGCGACAATTACAGCTGTACCAAAAACAGGGCAGCCAAAGTGACATTGCATCGGAAACTTTCACCATATAAATATGGGCAACGCTTTTTTTTTAAATAACGTACAGCACCATATATTTCCCATTTATTTGGTTGAATTTAGAGACAAGCGTAATATGCTTGCCATTTCTTTGATTAATTTAGAGCCAATGTAAAAAAAAAGATTTACGAAGCTAGAAACCAAACCATAGTAAGGTCAGCGCAGGCTTTAAAAATAGGTACTAGCGAAGATACATCCCACCAAAACCTACGAATTATTACGCTTATAATTTGCCATAACAGCAAGGATATGTAGTGGTAAGTAAGGTAAGTAGTGTAGCACTTGCAAAAAGCCCAGCAAACACATCACACCTAAAAACACGTCATGAAAAGGTGAAATATCATTTCAAAATAAAGTTAAGAGCTTAAACAGAAAGACTGGGACACACAACATTCAAACTCATTTATAATGCAAGCAGCCAGGCAGGGAACACACGAGTTCCATGAGGTTTGGTACACACTAACACAGTCATATCAAGACACATCAAAAATCCAACACCAAAATGCAGCAAAACGTCGGGTAGGGACGCCAGGCTCAGCAAAGTCGTTGCTGGCAGATGTCAGGCAGCAAATATCAACAGACAAACTGAACAAGGCCAAGTCAGCTCTATGCATGCGAGCACATGGATAATCGGGGAGGGAGACGCGAACTGCTCAGTCTGTCCACGAGCTGAGGTAGAACGAAACAGCTACTCTGGGTTGCCTCTTCAATAAACCTAAGTCCTGAAAGGCTGTGAAGGGCTCAACGTGAACAATTTCAGGGAGGGAACTCAAGGGAAGTGGACCAAAAATAAACCGAAGATAAAACATAACCGGGACATGAAACTATCACAGGACTTCGGTTCATAGTGACCAAGTGAGGAGGGTATGTAACATTCAAACCTCGCCACTCTAGCTGGGGTAAGGGACACGCAGGTCTCTCAGGACGGGCAGGGTCAGCCGCCGGGCAGCTGAAGCGAGCCGGGCGGGGCAGCGGGTCACGTGCGGGCTGCATTCTCTGTCCGGCGTCTCGGGGCCGGCAGCGGCACACGGCTGGAAGTCTGGCAGCCACCGGTACCTGACTGGTGGCCCCGGCGGCGGCCCGGGGGCGGCGGCGGCGGCCGCGGCTCGGGACGCCGCCCGCCGCCGCCCGAGCCGCTCAGAGCCGGCCGGAACGCCGCGCGTCCCTGCTGCTGCTGCTTCTGCTGCTGCTCGCGGCGCTTCTCCGAGTGGCGGACGTGGACGCCGGGGCGCGGCGGCGGCGCCGTGGCCGCCGGCCGGCCGGCGTTCGGGTTATAAGGCACCCCCAGAGTGACCAGCGTCCAATGCGCTAACACTACCTCGCCTGGGGGGAAGGGCGCGCGGTGAGGGGCAGCGCCGCACGCCGGGCGGAGGGGCGGTACTGAGAGGTAGAGTCAGCCCTGGGAGGTAGAGACGCACCGGGTGGAGGCACGGGAGGAATCCAGCACGACCCCGCTATCAGGGACCGGGGGCAGCGGACCGTCACCTACCCAGCAGTGCGCCTCAGCGGGAGCGTGCCGAATCAAACGTCAATCCATCACCAAAACACCACCACCAACCAGCCAACAGAGACAAACCCCGCCACCAAAACTATCAGAACCACTCGGTGAGACACCCGCGCCCCCCTATGGACAGCGGCGCGCACTACAAGTACGGTCGTCACGCGGTGCTGGGCGGCAGCGCTAGAGGCGGGTGTGGTGAGCGCAGCCCCAGTGCGGCACCGCCGGCGCAGGGCGGTTGGGGCAGAGGGCACTTACCGGTGTATCGGCCATCATTGTGCACCTCCAGGGACCAGGTGCCCAGCGGCGACTCGTCCCAGTTGTGCGTGGTCATAAACGGCCATTCCTGGGGGAGAGACAAAATCATAAGGGTTGAGTGGGCGGACGAAACAGGCAGAACTGACAAACGGGATGAAAATGTGAGAGGAGCAAGGCTCTTCTAGATTTCATGTGAGAAAAAGACAAGGGCAAGGGATGACAAACCAGATGATTATGTTATAAGGACTCTGACCATTCCATGTTCTATTCCTTCCTAGAGCTCTTAGCACTCGCGTTCTAACCCATCAAATACAGCAGTTTCACCTCAGTCCCTAATGCCACGCCAGCCATCCCACCAGTCTCCCCAGTCCCCACCAGCCTCCTGCCCTCTCGCACCGACCTTGAATCCGGCACGGGACGAGTCGTGCGGCCTCTTGTCCAGCAGTGTGCTGGTGGTGCCCGCCGGCGAGGTCAGGAAGATCTTTATATCGCCGCGGCGCGTGGCGTCCAGACTGATGCGCGCCTGGACGTGCTCCATGTAGTTGACGCCCTCGCACGAGTTGACGGTCAGCGTGAGCACCACCTTGCTGTGAGACGGCACCAGCCTGGGCGGAGAGAGAGGGAGGGTTGGAGGGATCGGCCGGGCGGCAGCACAGCGGCAGACGCCCACAGAAGGGCGTTGGGAGAGACACAAAAAGCACAGTTACTAGATGGTGCCAACTGTGTTCCGCCTTCAGGGGAAAATTGAGAATAACAGACAAAAACAAGAACCTCCCAGAAATCATAGACGATTTCAAAAACAGACAAAAACAAGAACCTCCCAGAAATCATAGACGATAACATTCACATCGCACAAGCTTAAATCCAACACAACTGAATGAAAGAACAGCAAGGCCTCGATATCACATTAGCGTTATCAGATCACACTTTATCACATCAGCTCCAAACCCCACACGGCTCACCCTTCTCCAGTCTCCACCTTCCGGTCCCCCACCCCCCGACCACTCACTTGTCGACGTGTGCGGAGGGCGTCTCGCACTTGCGCTGCTCGGGCACGGGCCTCCACGTCCTGGCCAGGTTGACCATGGCCGTGGCGTCCATGAGACCGTAGCCAAACGAGTGGCTCACTGTCGACCGCGAAAGCGGGATGGTCAGATGAGAAACAAACTTCATCAACGAGCTAAACCATCGTAGAGAAGTCAACCTCAAAATGTGACACGAACGAACCACAAACCGTGATTGATTCTCACTTCCATGTTGGCAAAAAAAGGGTTCGATTTACTTAGAACGCTGAAGCTACATTTCTTTCCATTTTACCGATATCATGACTCTCGTAACCATCTCTTTATTTCATGCCGGCAGTTCAGTTTGATCCCTAACCCTACACACTGCTCCAGAACCCGGTACCCCGTACCGTTTCGTCCGACGCCGTTGGTGACCCAGTCGGCCGCTCGCAGGTTGGCCCGACGCGCCGTGCGCACCACGATGTGCTGCATGTCGCGCCAGGTTAGATCCTGGTTCACCTGTGAGGGCACAGCGGGGTGAAAGGTCAGAGAGCTGGCGGACTGCGAGGTCATAGATAGGCGGGGATCGGCCCGGGGTTTCGGGATCATCAGAGTTTAGGGCTTTTGTGCCATATCGGAGCGAACATATATACTGCTATGGTGGGGACGAAGATGTTCCCCAATCCCCAGCCCAGCATGTGAGTTCCCCTAGGGCAGATAAGCGGGCTACAAAGTGCCAAGTGGTTGATGGACTTTCCAGGCTTCGTCAGATCATCTAATGGCATTAGACATTGCATTTCCCTGAAAGGATTATACGGTTCGGGGAGAGCTGTTTTAAAGAGTGCTAAGAGGGAATTTATCCATTAAGGCTGGAGACCGCTGGCCTAAGGAAAAGCTCTTCAACATTAGAAGACCTCTCTGAAAAGATTGTCTTCATTATTATCGGCGCACATCATGACCGTAACGTAGCTGTATACAAAGATTTCATCGGAGTTAAACATCACCAGCTAATGCATGAGTAGCAAAGCATCCCACCCTTATCCGAAAAAGTCTGTGGTCCGTAGGCCACCCTCTCGGCACCCTTCCTCTACTATTTTCAATCACACTTACGACCGGCCTCCGTCGCCGCCGTCTGGGCCGTTCTCACCCAATGGCCATCGATCCCGACGGCTCCATCAGCGAATGGTCCGTAAAGAGGCCATAACCCAACTACACGGTCTCCAACCCCGACCAAAGCCCGGAGACGACGGCCGCGTCAGGCGCATCGTTCGGCAGACAGAGGAAATGAGGTCCGTATTGACTTCAGCGCTCATATGCGTAGCGATGGCGACAGCGGGCGCTCCGCCGGCGCTCAATGTTTTTGTCCTCCCTGTTTTGTGCCGGCGGACTGTTGTGACGACAGCGCCGTTGTCTCCTGTGTTACCGCTCGATCGGTCAGTTGACGCGCACTCGTTGTTTTGTGAACGGTTGAGCTGCTGATGTGTTTTTCTAGAAATAGCTCTGTTGACGTGCAGTTGCCTCGAGACGGACGCTGGACGACGGCTATTATAACCGGCAGCCGACGCCCATCCAATCAGACACAGTCGACCTGTTGCGACAGCCATCAAAACTAAAAGCCTCATCGAACATGCAGCGGCTGAACACAAAAAGAGCGATGGGTCACTGGAGGGAAAGGTGCCTGGCAACGTGGCGCAAACGCCCGCCATTGAGGGTCACCGTGACATTTTGTGACGGGGTCGCGGCGCCGGTCGACGGGAGCTGAATGGAAGGGCCGGCGACCGCTGCACTGTGGGGTTTTTATCGATCCTAGCACGAATTTATTTATATCGCATCCTCCGCTACCTCAACTAATTTTATTTCACCTTTAAATGGTTAGGCTTAGGGTGTGATCCCTGACAACATGGTTGGCTCTCCTGCTTGACCCCATCCCTCCCCCGCCCCCTCCCCACGGACTTAGCACTGAAGCGTTTTCGGCTAGCAATGCATCGTGGGCGTGGAAGCGTTAAAAAAGTAGAACGAAACTACAATCGTTTTAGAAGTAGATATTTGTTCATGTCTAGCCCAATCACCAAAGAGGCATTTCGGGCTTAACCTTTGCACTTTGTTAGTCCTTGCACTTAAAGGGGGAGGGGGTCGCACAGACTTCTGTCCTCGACTTTTCGCATACTAGCTCAAGCAAAACGTGGAGGATCACGACGAAACTTTCTATACCTTCGATTCGATCAATGTTACTCACACACTTAAAATTTCATGACCTCGACCTTAATAAAAATTTGACCTGTGACCTGTTTCACCAGACCATGTCAGGCTGTTATCGATTTGGCGCTTATCAGCGCACATTATCGGCGCGTTTTCAGTCTTGTTGTGGTTGTTAACTCTCCAAGGTATGAAATGCTGTTTGTTCTTTGCATTTTAAGGTCACGTTAAGGTCAAATCAAGGTCATGTACCTTAGATGACCTTAGTTGACTTTTTTCAAGTTATACGATTTTTCTAGATAAGTGCTTGGAGCTTATTTCGAACTTAACACCCATTTGAAGATTTAAGTAGGTAGTTTTGGTGCCTAACGGAACATGCTACGAAGCCGTCAACGGTAATCGACGCCTACCTTCTATGGATAGCCGGCAAGACACCTACTGGTCGGGCCTGACCTGACCCGGCCTAGCATGAAAACATCATCCTTGATCAAAACTAGCTTGAAATTCGTGATTAGCACCCCAAAAACCTCCAACCTCACTTTACAAAGTTACAGCATTTTTCGATTTACCTACATCAAAGCTCTGTACTGAAGTTCAATAAGGTGAACATTGGTGGCGATAGCCAATAAAATGGACGCAGCGTTGCAAGGGTGTTGTTGTTTTGTTCAAAAAGAACATTTGGCGATAGAAAAATAATGTCAACATGGTATCACCCCCTTCCTCCCTCCTCCCAACTCCTATACTGACCGGAAACCCCCAGGCGGTGTGCTGCGGTCGGGTAACCCGCCGCGGCGCGGCCCGGCGGGGCGTAAGAAACCACGCGGCACCGTCTGCTTTGACGTCTCATAGTGACTGGTTTAGGCAAATTTCGGCAAAAAATGAGAGCTGCCCCCGATGCAGAAATTATTGGAGAACATTTTGATATACATTTCCACGCGTAACAACGCGTATCAAACTTTGTAAGGCAATAGTTTGCTTGTCAACTCTCTGAATCAAGAAGCATTTTAACATTTTTAGCATTTCGGTCAAAAATTATACATTTGGATGAATTTTGGAAATTTTCGTGCATACCATCATCTTCCTTATAAGTCAAAGATAATGAAAACATGTCGCAACTATAACCTGCTGTTCAGGGAAACGAGTGAGAGGGCGTTTTATTGTAGTGTGCTTTTTCGCTGTATGCAGGTAGCACGACGCTGGTCAGGACGAAGCTACACTTTGAGAGGTTTTTTTAGGCATAAACAATCATTTTACAGACGATTTAAGGTGTGATTCGGATGCGCTGGACAATTCTACGTGGAATAAATAACAAAAAAGTGGAAATCGAAATACTTTAACTTGCCACTTAATGCGTGCTAGGATGGCATAAGTCCCCACGGTGCGCTGGATGTCCGGCCGATAGCGCCTGATGGATTAGGTGTCAACGCGCGTATAGGGGCGGCCCCGGTCCGGCACGGCCGACCGATCAGTGTCCGCCAGTGGTGGCCGCTCACTGCGGATTTATCCGGCCAGTGACGTCACGCAGCGACACGGCACGCGAGGCGGAGCCCAAAGTAGATCGAATCACTCGACTGGACAGCAGCTGCCGCCAGTGGACCGAAAATAACACCGCCCGGAAAGGTCACCTCACTCTCAGAGAAGCTTTGAACCCAGCACACGCCATCCATTCTATAGGAATCAACCCCTAGGAAGCGGGAAAACACAAGGTGATTGACCATTGACGACACCTTCGAGCAGGCTTCGCCACCCTGAAAGAGCCATCATCTCATCAACCCAGCACACAGCACACGACCGACCCATTCACACTATAGAGATCCCACATACGACCTCTATCAGCTGAAGATATCATGTAAGATCCCTATCATCCGCACACTGATCCCGTATACATACCGAGACTCTCAGACAGGGTTCACGACCGTCAGTCACTGTACGGAAAGGTCGGCACAGCAGACGCGTTATTACTACTGTCTGGTCCGGGGAGGGCCTGTACCGTCGGCCATCGCTCCTCTCTATTGGCTATTAGTCGCTGCTGATTGTCCCCGGGTCGCCTAACACCGTACAGGGATACAGATACGCTCACCAAGTGAGGCATGTGATTGCTTTCTGAGATACATCCGCAGGCTGTTGTGAGCAATGACGACAGAGGTCTTTGTCATGTCTGTATGGCGTGCATCAAGCCTCTTATGTGTCGACAAATGGTATACTTTGTTCTAATATTTACTTCTTTAGGAATCTTTCAGCACACCTAAATGCAATTGCACACATGAAGTTTTCAATCATTAACCTCAAGCATAACTGTAAACTGCGCACAATTGCACCACGGAAATCACACTATTGGCCCTCTTCCCTACCACCACCGATACCATCACCTTCCCCGCCCCAGGTCACCAACCACCGCTCATGTTCCAGGTCACCCAGGTGACCTCCGCCTCGACGGGCGTTCCGTACCTGCAGCGCCAGGGCGCAGATGCCGGCGGCCAGCGGCGCGGAGGCTGACGTGCCCGTGTGTGTCGCCGTACAGCCGCGGTGGAGGTCCGTGGTCACAATCTGAGGACAGACGAGAACATCGTCAGACACCAGTGTCGTCAGGGTCAGCTCTCAGCCGAGGCTACCCTGCCAGTCAGCTAAACCCCACAACAGTCGTAGATAGCAAATGTAATGCAAGTTCTGACCGTGCTTCATGGTTGCGAAATTGAGTGCAGCATCTTTGAGGTAAAAGTAGGAGCCTGATCAGTCACAGGACGGATGCTCGGCAATGCCTCTCACATGTTTCAGTCCCATCTTGTGACTGTTCTCCCACATCGCATCGTCCCGTCATCGTCTCATCCCTTCCATGCCGCCCCCTCCCATCCCCAATCCAACCCTTCATCCGGCTGTCGGTACCTGGTTCTCGAGGCTGCTGCCGGAGCTGTAGGTGGTGGCCAGTGTGGAACTGTGGGCACCCCTCCCCCACCACCCTACCCCTACCCCGCCCTCTCGTTAGACTGCGGACGTCTGTACCTGTTTCTCGAGGCTGCTCCCGGAGCTGTAGGTGGTGGCCAGTATTGCACTACACGTACCCCTCCTCCCCGCCCTCTCGTTAGCCTGCGGACGTCAGTACCTGTTTCTCGAGGCTGCTCCCGGAACTGTAGGTGGTGGCCAGTGTCGAGCTGCACGTACCCCTCCCCACTCCGCCCTGCCGTTCGACTGTCGATGTCAGTACCTGTTTCTCGAGGCTGCTCCCGGAGCTGTAGGTGGTGGCCAGTGTCGAACTACACGTACCCCTCCCCCACCACCCTACCCTGCCCTCTCGTTCGACTGCGGACGTCAGTACCTGTTTCTCGAGGCTGCTGCCGGAGCTGTAGGTGGTGGCCAGGGTCGAGCTGCACGCCTCCGAGTACCAGGGCACGTCGCCGTTCTCTGTGGCGCTGCTGATGCTCAGCGTCCACAGGCTGTTGGTGTAGCCGTCACAGTTGCAGTTGTCCAGCTCCCTGCCGCCGTTACCGGAGGCCCACACGAAGATGGAGCCCTTGCCGTTACGGCCCTGCAGGTGGTGAGATAGGGGCGAGTCACAAAGGGATCGGTAATGACAACACATTCCGAAAAGTCCGATCATGATCTGGGAACGTGATCAATAAGACGTAGAACAGCAGTTATATAATTCATCTACGCTGGATTTGCCCGAGGTAAGACAAGACAATCATCAAGGAACATTTTCTGAACCCAGAGCGAATGCCTTCAATTACGAGGATAGCCTCTTCGCCAGAGGTATTTTGGATGGAAAAAATACTCAATGAACTCTTATAATGAGACTGACTTCAACAAAAAAAGCCGCTGTATCTTCCTGCTGTTTGCATTGCCACGCGACTTGGGGTGCAGTTGGGTCACCTCTCCCGGCCGCCGCGGGCTCAGCCAACATCAATACACACGGCGGCACTCATAAGCCGAAATAAACGGCGCACTCACTGCCATCGTAATGACATGTTTACGACAGCCGTAATAGCGCGGCCAAATATAACATTTCAAATGAAATTAACAGCACCGTGATTTACAGCACAGGCGCGATTTAACGCACCACCGCGGCTGCAAATGATCGTGCGCACCTCATTAATCCGATCAAATTCGACCTCCCGAAAACTCCGCGTCCGCCGTAATTCGGTGAAAAAGGGCTGGGAGCGGGTGTTTTAGCGAACTCACGTTGACGATGCCCTCCTTGAAGGCGCGCTTGGCCAGCTCGCCGGGTCCATCCACCGTCTCTCCGTCGTCATCCGGCCCCCAGCTGGCGCTATAGATGTCGATATGGTTCTGGTTGAGGCCCAGGGACCGCGCCTCCACCGCGTCAGTCACCTCGCCGTCCAGCATACGGACACCTGGCGGCAGAGCGGCGCAGTTGTAGTTACCACACCCGCCGACAGGTGGCCGGTGGGAGTGGCACGCAGCCGGCTGACAAGGTCGGGAGGACATGCGGATTGCGGCCGGCCGGCGCGGCCCGGTGCCGGCGCGGTCACGGACCTCTAGGACACGTGTGGAGCCCGGAAAACGGACCGTCGCCGCCCGGCTGACGGTCTGCCGGCCATCGCTAGACGCATGATCAAGGCGGCGATTGAGAAAATGACCGTCTAAACGGCATTTCGGGAACGATGCACAAGGACATCACTGTGGGGAGCAAAAAAGACAGGTTACGGCAAGATGCAAACAATAAAACAAAAACGAGATGAAAATTCCATAAGTTCCAGGAGAACCAAATAGGTGGAGAGGAATAAACAGCGCCTTAAAATCGACAAACATCGTTATGTGAGAACCAACCGAATTTGTAAAAGGTTTTAAGGATCAGACCGAAAGGATAAACTTGCTTTTTCAATTAGCAATGCCTCTTCGGAGAGCTTTCGCGTAAGTTTCTGAGAGTAACCATAGGAACATCATTATTCCAGATACTATTTCGGGCTGGATCAATGCAGACGACACTAATGATACACGGTCAATACTAAGACCGATCCTTTAAAACTGGGCCTCAGCAAGGAGAGATCTCGTCTCAGCGGCTATACGGGCGAAGATCTTCCGCATTAATCATTCCGAGAGTGGGGGAATTAAGTGGATTTCCATATTGTTGAACAGCTAACATTCAATTTTAGGCTAATCCAATTTAATCCCACTTAGGCCCCAGTACGGACAGACTGCCTTATATCGCATTAGCTTTAGCAAAGGTTAACGAGATAATTGCGGGAAATCGAAGATTGAATTTCCATACTGTTAACTGAAATAGTGCAGCTCAACAGAAAGTAGTCGGTACCTAGGCTGAAAAGTTCGGTCACTCTCATCAGTATGAGGCTCCATTTTATACAGAACATTTAATATATCCACCCCGGCCTTCCCCTTTTATTCCTTCAATTAGGCCACCTCGATCGATAATGCATTTCAGCTCCTGGGTACAAGGCGCCCGACGCCGAGCCACTACCCCGACATCCATTACGGCACGGAGTCGGGGGCACACCCGGCTGCGCGCCAGCAATGCCCCGGATCGTTACTTATATGAATCACGGCGCAGTGGTTTGGCTTTACGAGGGTTCCTCATTGCGAGGCGGAGCCAGGCCAGGTACTGACGACAACCGCCGAAGTTTTACGAGCTCCACTTACTGGTCTCAACAGCAATATGACATTATGGAAAAAAACGAATACTTCCTTGAACTTGGAAATCACATAAAACTCCCGCAAGTAAAGATCGATCATAGGTAATGAAACCGTAGTTCTCAATAGCATGAGGGTTACGCCAGTAATAAGGTAAAAAATATATCGAAATTAACATTGACATTTTGAAACCCATCGAAGCAGATGGCCACCTAAAACAACTACAACCGTATCTTTCACGACACACGCCTTTCCGGTACCGCATTACACCAAGGCCACCGTATCACTTCCTACCTAAGCCGTGACACAATCAGCCAAACCAAGCCTTACCCACAGCCACACGGGTTCTCCCACGGCCACCACCTACCGCCAATGTTGGCCTCGAAGGCGACTCCGACGGCACAGAGCGAGTTGTTGGCCACGCCGGCCACCTCTCCGGCGCAGCGCGTGCCGTGCCGGTTACTGTCGTTCAGGTCGTACCGCGGCTGCGGGTCAGGGTCGTGGCCGTTGACGTCGTAACTGGCCATCGGGTCCTGTTGGCAGTGAGGGTGAGGTAAACAATCAGAGTCCTATGGATGAGAGGTCAGGTCACTCATTGTGTCAGGTTGAGTGTAATTGAGTGATGAGGGTACGGTCAGCCATCGAAGTGATGTGGATAAAAGGGGTGAGCCATTGGGTCCTGTGGGTGAGAGGAGACGGTGAGTTTAGTCATCGGATCAGTCGTGGGTGAGCGGGAAAGATCAGGGGATCGGTCAGCCATTGGGTCACCTAACGAGTGCCGGAAAAAATAGTCACGTAAGACAGCCAGGAAGAAGGTAAGGAAATGACAATATACATAGGCATCAAAATACCGGAAGAGGTACGCAACATGGCATACAACGGAACGGCATGACATATCAAAACAACGTTGGCGGACAAGGGTAGGGAACATTACACAAGTCGGATCTTGTTGGGCCTTGAATGGCCCATTCAGCGGCAGATAAAACGGAATCAATTTACACCCGGCTGCTGGCGCGCTTCCCAGAAACGCTCTGGAAAGACCAAACACCAAAGAGAAGCCGAACGGAAGAGCGCACAATCTCCCGGAACCAATGGAACATCCACTGAACTCGAACCGGCGCCCGGGCCTAGAGGACGCCAAACTGGCGAAATTTCGATAAACAGCGTACACCGACGACACGGGTCGGCACAAATTCCAAACAGCGGTGCTTATATATCAGAACACGAGTGTCGCCGCCTCGTGACACGCTCAGAATCGCCAGTGAGGCGGTTCTGGCAGCAATCCCCGGCAAGATGGATCCCCAGAGACGGACGAGCGCGTGCCGCCGCCAACTGACGTTCGGGCGGGTACACGGGTCGGTCGGCAGACCGCGACAGGCCATTAGTGGCTGCTTCGACGACAGGTCTGTCGTCTGATGACATATCTGTGACGACAGAGAGTCGCAGTGACGTATCGGGTGCCGACAGGCGAACCAACACACGACAGCCGACCGGTTAGCAGTTCCGGGTGTGGCCACCACTGAGCGATGGTTATTAATAGTTGTTTGGTGCCACCGGGAGTCGACGGGCCGGTGATGTTTGGACACACAGACAGTCGAGACCAGTAGTCGGAGACGGACAGCCGGTATAAACAGTAAACACACCACACCCTCAACCACAGACAGACACAGCGTCTATGTTCCACGACCTACACAATGAGTTTCTTTCCACTCCCAACAGGGGACCAGGAACATAAATTTCGATATAGAAAAACTTTCGATCTACACCTCGATCCAATTTCCCCACCCTCCCAAGCACCATTTTTCCCGCCTCGCGCCTCGGCCCATACCGATCCGACTCATCCCTCACGGAAGCGTCGCCGGTTCCATACCGCACGCACGCACGTGTGGCCAAGTTTGCCGTCACGCGCGCCCCAGCTGCGTGCCAGGCCCGGCGGTCACCGCGTGGGCAAACGGTCGCAGCGCACGCCCGGCCCCATTCGGTGGGCACGTCAGCTCGGCGGCCCGGGCCGCGGCACTCCCGAGAGGGTTCAGGAAGTCAGCGGAGTGAACTCGAGTAGTAGCCACACCTGTGCCAAGGGCTGTGATGGGAAAATCAGGGCGACAAAGAGGCATGCGCATTGCGCATTCGTCAAACGCTGTAGAGACGTTTGCTAATAGGAGCTAAGGGAAGTCCCGAAATTTTGCGACTTGCGCTCAATTACTGCATCAGCAACGAAGCAGCAGCGAGTTCCTGAGATAGCAAATGAATCATATAGCTTTAAACATTAAGTGCATCTAGTTAGACGTCATCACACCATGGCACCATTCGATAACATTCCAAGTAGCGATAGCAGATCCTGATCACGCGTGTATGTGTCATCACTGGTCCTTGTCGTAGCCTGCAGGCGCCCAGTTCCGGTGACCAATCCACCACAAGTAGACCAATGTGACCAATCCATGCATGACTTAGTTCATCAGACATCTTCGACACCATCCTCTCTTCTCCTCAGACAGCTGATTCACCTCAGCGGACACCAAGCCAGACGAGGACGGTCCCCAGCCCCGTTAGACCCGGGACAGACTGCACGGCGGCGACGACGGCGGCTGACTCACAGAGAGGCAATGAGCGGGAACAGGCCCTCAGACGAGGCAGCTGCAGACCGGACGTGGGCGGTACGGACAACTGGAGTAATGCAGAGAGAGGTACTCAGACCGGGAGGGATGGACCGGGTGGGGATGGGAGACAAACTAATAAGAAAAATGGTGGAGGGGCGGGAAGGGGTGGAAGGGGGACAGGAAGAAATTGCGCACGCGGTCTCTGGAGTTGGCCCAAGCGCCTATCTGGTGCCTTCAGTGCGTCTGGCAGACACAAAAACGAGCGATGTCTCGGTCGGCTGTGCCGACAATGACCCATCCCGCGCCACAGGCCTAAGTAAGCCGACCGCTGCAAACGGCAGGACGGGTTTAACTCAGCAGACACACAGGGCAGGCAATGGATCCAGACGTGCAGTCGAGCGGCCAAATGAAACGAGACAGACAGACGCGCTAAACTAACTGCAGTGCCATAAACGCGTCCGAGCCGAGCACTGAAATGGAATATACGGTAGCCGCCAATGCGCTGAAGAAAAATGGGCCAACGCTCTACGGACAGTGAAGAGATATTATCCACTCGGGAGACATAAAATACAGGCGGCAAGATTCGCCTAGACGCTGAACAATGGCCCAGTTTCAGAATTCACCTAACAAACAGTCCATTGTCTTCATAAACATGTCAAAGTCGGCCATCTCGACGGCATGAAAGTGTCGGATGGTTAACACAGATATAGCTAGACTTTAACTGATGCACTGTCTGGTGCAGGTACAACGGATGTGTACACTATAAAGCGAGCCATGTGCGACAGGGGCACTCAAAGTAAAATAAGATAAACATAAATATCGAACAAAATCACATAAAAAAGATTGACAGCTTTAAATATTTTATGCATCACGTTGCCCTGATTACGAGCGTTAATTTGAACACGGGCAACGGTTGCGTCCGCGCCGCCAGCCGCCCGTTGGACTAAGGATGGTCCCTCCGTTAGTCCTCCGCTACTCGTCCCCAAGTTACTCACGTAGTTGTCCATCAGGTCGGGGTGGTCCTTCTCCAGGCCGTCGTCCAGGATGGTGACGACCACGCCCCTTCCGGTGACGCCCTGAGACCACGCCCCCTGCACGTTCATGTCCAGGCCGCCGCCGCGGTTCTGAGGGCACATAAGACAGGCAAGGTTAGCAAGGAGCAGCGGTCACACATCTGGGTACACACACACTGATGGTCGTGTATCTGTGGATATGTTTCCCACCAGAGTGACAATAATAAGACGGCATCGCGTAGCCAAATGTATGTATGTAAAGTCGACTACAGAATGATGTTCCACTTTTCACATGCAATTATTTGCCTGGAGTGGTAGGCTGTGCCGCATCACACGGGCTGAGTTCACAAATTATAGCTTTGTCCCAATGCCCACAATCGACACGCCTAATTGCGTGATAAACGGCACAACTTAGCGCTCCGGTCAACTGATAGCTTCTGAGGAGTGGAACATCATTCTGTAGTCAACTATACATCAGCTGAGCACTGTCGAACAGACCAGCTGAGGCCGGGCGCGCTGGGTCAGCTCAGTTCGACCCACTAGAAGTCACACCAACGCACCACGCTCGTCTCGGCGCGACTTTCACCAACAACGTTCAGCCATCACAGGTTATCAGAGGCGAATCATCACATCAACCCCACAACGACCTCTTGCCACGGCAGCGCGTGCATTCAGGGACCTCAGGGAGCTGTTGGACGGTTACCACCCACCGCCCACCGCCCGGCGGCGGCGGCGGCGGCGGCGGCGGCGGCGGGGCGTTAGTGGAATGAGGGAATGTGACGGACTGTTTCCGCTAATGGAAGGCTGCCGTGCCCCGGAAATGGCACCGCTGCAGCCGAGGGTGGCCTGCGACCTATGCGAGGGAGTAGGGAAAGGGTGGGGGTGGAGCGACCTGTGGCGAGGCACTCCATGAGGGATGACAGCGGGGGCGATGGATTCCGGGCGGGGCTGAGTGAAGCGCTGATGAGCTAAACAAATACGCACAGAAACCCTGGGTGCATTTGCTCACTCTCCTGGAAAATGCGTAGATTGCATTTCACAGACGGATGATTGTTTTAAAGTAGACTGTAGGATGAAATCCCTTGAAGTTCATCCTGAGTCAAGAGAACCAGCCACCCGGCCCCGTAAAAATACATATGTGTGTGTAGGACGTTGGAATCGATATTAATGACATTTCTATTAGCTGAATCGAAGAGAATCTCATGATCGAAATGGCAGCTAATTACTGCAAAAAGTAAATTAATAGAAAAACATAACGCGTAGGAAAGCAATAAAGGGACGGAAGTGAAAACCTAGTTCTGATAAGAAAACAAAAACGGAAATAACGTTGGGCAAACAAACAATTCGGGAAAATCCCAAGAGCGACCTAAACCTGCACACATCGTTCAAAAACATTCCGTTCGAGCAGCTTCTTGTGAACCAGCGCTCGGAAGGGTAGCCGACCGCTGAGAGCAGGCCGATCAACTCCGTCCTGTCGCCCCTCATTCGTCTACCACCGTCTTCGACTCTCGAAGGTTAGGCGTCACGCCTGGCTCTGATTAATTAACCTTTGGAAAAGCTGGACCGACTGTCGGTCGGCCACGGCCCCGTGACGTCCGTCGATAGGTTATCGCCTAAGGCGGCTGCCTCTGGGTTATCGCCTGAGGCAGCTGTCAGTGAGTTACCAGCTGGGGCGTCTGCCGGCCGTCAGATGGTGGCGTTATCACAGGGGGCATCTGCCACTGGCTTATTGACAAGATGCAGAGGGCTGCTGCCAATCACACCTCGCCAGCCACCTGGATCCAGTCGGATCGTCACCTCGGGCCGTGCTGCCGTCGTTGTCTAGACTCTGCGCCCGAACGGTGTGATCAGAGCCCGTGAGGCAGGCAATGACACTTCCGAGAGGTCATAACGAGAGCCAGCCCGCGGCCAGCGACTGAGATCGAGCAGCCAACCCAACCTGGCGTCAGTGAGTAAATACAGACCGGCTGTATTCGCAGTCACCGAGTCAATAAAGGCTGGCCGTGTTTGCAGTCGATCTACCCTCCACCGACCGCAATGTAATAAGTCGCCAGCACGAGGCACGTCAGCTTTGGTCACGCAGCGGCACCCCGCCTATCGGATACACTCACCAGCACCCCGCCCATCGGATACACCCGCCGGCACCACACCTATAGGATAGATAAGGATAGATGCACCAGCCGGCACCCCACCTATCGGGTAGATACACCCGCCACTATTCCGCCTATCGGATAGATACACCCACCAGTATCCCGCCTATCGGATAGATACACCCGCCAGAATCCCCGTGTAGCGAGGGGATTAAGAAGAAAAAAGAAAGGATAGAGTACTTCATCTTCACACAGCGATCCCCTGTCGTCCAGCTAGTTGTAGAATAACAGAGAGAACGATTTGCTGCTGTAATGAACTCGATAGAAGAGCTGGTGATACAGAGGAGCTTGAGAATCGTTGAAGAGATCCCGAGATAGAGATCTAGGGAGATATCCGGATATTGATGAGATCCTGAGATAGATGTTGGGATCCAGATAGAGATCTGAGATCCTGATAGAGATCTTGAGATAGCGTCCACCTGGGAGAGATGTAGATATAGATCCACCTTGCGTACAAATACATCTGATGGAAGATGCTTTTTAATTTAGAGGCTTGATGATTCTGTTCATTGTATAGACCATGATGCACGAGATGCTTCTTCACTGCTCGGATTAGGGATAGAGGGATCCGATCAGCTGGGTTTGCGGCACAGTTGGGCAGGTGTAGGACAGGGCATTCGAAGTCCCGATGACCACTGCCAAACATATGGGTGGTAATTACATTGATAAATTGAATGTGATCATTCGTCCAGTCACCCATTCCTATATCACTGGCCTCCCCATTAAGAAAATTGCCCACTTAATTCGTATTAGCGTTGCTAGTTACCAGTTGCCCTCGAGAATCATTTGTTCGACTGCCGTAACCGAATCCTACCAAATTCCTATCGGCCTTACTCTAAGATTCATGCGTCATCATTCTCACATCCTTGCTCGCAATACGTTCACATTTCATGTGTTCACCCAAATTTAATTGGTAGCCCCCGAAATTCCCTCCGATAGTGTTAGGCGTCTTACAAACCATGGTCTCCCCGGCGAGATAAATGTCTCTTTCCGAAATCCATATGCATGCTCCGCTAACCGGCGACAAAGATACTTATCGCAGGGCCGTCCAGAATAATTGCACAAATATCCACCCTACTAATTTATGGGATTCACTACTCGTCCGATAGACTTATGGTACACACATACACGATTTATATCCGACTTATCTCTCTATCCGGGAGAGATTACCTATGCCCTCTTCCGGTCCGCGTGTAACATTCCCGTTCACGACCCAGGGACCACAGTTCATATCCTGGAACTATCCTTAAACCATGGGATTTACTCTTCAAGGCCTTACGTGTCCTGGAGTACATTCTTCCCTCCCCTGAGGCTGTCCAGTACCGCTTAGAGTACCTTTACGAAATAAGTATGAGGACTTATCCGGGACACTACGGCTCGACTTATCCGCCCTTTGGGTAACTCACCCCTGACCCTCGGCTTCTTGCCTTTGGCATAACTTACTCTCCAATGCACTGTGCCAATCTTCCCCTTCCCCCCTGCCGTAGAAACCTCTCACTGCCTTCTCACCCAGTGTTACCTAAGCGGGAAAATTAACAGTGGCCGGTACCACTGGCGGAAAACGTGCACATGCCCTGCGTACGTGACGGTGTGTCCCTCTTATCATTTCGGTCTGGACGTGGGTTTGGAGAAGTGCATCTGTGTCTCATACAGTCATGCTGGTAAACGTTACGCCATAGGAGACGGGCAAACAAGCCGTCTGTGCCTCACAATGCCCTGTGCCAATATTGTTGGAGTAATTATTGGCGCTAACTCGCAAGAACGCGAATAACAGAAACGCATAATTTATCCGAACCTAATCGTAATCTCAAGTCCTAATTGCTGCTGCACGCGTGAACCTTATCATCAGTTCTCGTATACAATCCTAGCAGACCTTGAACCGCTCTTGATTTAATCAGACATATGATCTAGAACCAATTAACACGCATCGATCTGCCGTCTGGTTGTGATCCACCGTATCATAGTGAATTACTGAATGCTCAAACGGAAATGCCTCCTTGAAAGTCGTTCGATAGCTTCTGATGGGCTACTAGTTACCTAAACAAATTATCTATATAGAGTGCCAGAATATTGTCATAGGGTCCCTAGCCTTTCATAGGGAATCTAATTTAAATCATCCTATTAGCAGTAAACAATGCGCATCAAACGAAGTGCAGTCCTAGATATCATATAGCATGTCATATTTAACTGTCTACGTTCTTATCCCGTTGCAACTTTCCACAACTAACCAGGCTCCTATACGTGACCTTCACCTACCGCCCGCGCCCCAATTACGGCTAACCCACTGCCCCTGTTGTGGCCGCTTCTCGCGCCCTCTGGCGGCTCAACGCCCGCGTCGGGAACGACGATTACCACGGCCACCGGCCGGCGCCGCGTCGACACCGTCAGTCAGTCACGCCGCTATGGGCGCGTCACCACTCGCGGTACAGTGCTCGTGCGTGTTGCCTCTTCTGGCCGGGTAGCTTTACCGGATGTGTCAGTGAGTGTGAATCTGGTAAAATATCGCTGCAATATCTCCCCGTTCGACATCTCATCAGCTCCATTTCACGTAAGTTTTTTTTTAATTTAATTCCTGTCCCATTTAATCGTTCCCCAACAAAGATGGTCCTTTCTAGTATTTATTCTACAAAAGCACAACGATCGGTACCTATGTTAGTCGCATATTAGTTCTAACCACAAACAATTCTACATCTACCTATCACTCGACATTTCGCAATTTCGATGACGTAAAGTACAAGAACCATCTAAAGTCGCAAAGTGTCAAAACGTCGACCTCAAACCACTACTCTCAACTCTGCACCTAAGTAACAGAAGAAATTCTGCAGTAAGCTCAAGCATTCGTATCTGTCGAAAATCATAACTCATAGCCATATTCATAGATCGATTGCATGAATCAGTCGCCACCTTAAAACATTACATTCCCTTTCAACCGTATTTACCTGTTCAATAATTGATTTCGAC